TAATTAATGTTCAAGTTGATAACCAAGTACCACCAAAATTTATTAATTTATATATTAAAAAGGGCAGGCATTAACTTTATAATTTTTTGATTCTTTTTGATATGATAACATTACCTTAAACCTTAGCTGGAGGGTAATGAAGGATAAAGAAGAGAGAGAAGTTATTTGTAAATTTTTACTGTAAATAAATTTGTAAATATGTATATTTAATTAATAGTGGATTCTTTCCTTTTACTAATAAAGGGCCAACTCTTTTCAAAAGTCTTAATTATAGCCCTAATTGAGTGAAGATTTTAATCTTCTTCTTCTAATTTTCCATACTTTAGCCAGTATTTAGTTAAGTTTTGATATACCAGTTGAAATCAAGTTCATTAAACTTACAATATTTTCTTTCATTAAATTTAACTTCTTTAAGGAATTTTTGAGAATTTTCTAGGAATTTTTTCAGAAGTTTTTTTAAGGACTTCGTTTCAAAAAATTTTGGAAAATTTTTAGACTTTTTAAATTTTGCTTTAAAACTTAAATTTTAAAACATTTTATTTTTACTTCATTACTTTAATTATTTGCATTACAATATTTACACAATTTTTTAACAGAACACGCATTTCATTACAAACAGTTTACATTTCTTAATTCACAATATCACTTTACTCTATTTTACTTCCAGCAACTTGATTGGCTTAACTCCCTAAATTGATCGTTAAAATTAAAACTTGAATTACATACCTTTAGGATTTTTAAGTTTAAATTTTTTTCTAGATTTATTTTTTTATATTTTAATTAATGTTTGCAAAAAAAATTTTAATTTTAAAAAGATAGCAGCTTGGCACTCAACTTTACCTACATAAGAGCCATCTATATAATTAATTTGAAGAACACACTTACTTCTCTTTAAAAACACTTTTGCAAACCCCAACCCTCATATAGTAGGTAAGTTAGAATTAAAACTTACTATTTACTTGCTTTAAGTATTTTTAAAATTTTTATGTAGTATTTAAGTATTTTCTAGAAATGAAATTATATTTTTAAGTATATATTTGTTTTTAAAAATTGTGAATTAGTTCTTTTTGTTTCTTATTGGTTTATATGTATTATGTATAATTCTTTTTTAGTTTCTTTTTATTGATATGCATATTCGTGTCGGGGAGGTTTCTGTAAACAAGGGTTTCTAAAATGCATTGGTTTCTAGATTATTTTTTAAAAAAAAATTGATTTTTTTAAAATTTTTTTTTTTTTTAAAAAAGGTTTAATTTAATACTTGACTTTACTTGCTTGTTTCTCAAAAGACTTCATTAGTATTTTCCTTATAGTACTTTAATTCTTTAAATGCTAATTTCTAAGGGTACCACTTTATTGGTATTTCTTTTTGGGCATTCTTCACTTTTTACTTTTGGTTTTGACTTTTACCCTTGCCTGCATGACGAAACACGAATTGAATGATTGGAGAGTTAGCTCCCCTTGGTAAGACTGTCTCCTGCCTGCTCAACAGTCATTCACTTATGCATTTTTAAAAAATTGTTTGGATTAATTTTAATTAGTGAAATTAGTGAATTTATTTTCATTGATTGGTTTTGCACTTGATTTGCTTATGCTTCTGAATTTAAATGATATTGTAGATTAGTTCGAGAATTAAATCTTTTATAAGTTTACAAATTTTTTAATATTTTTTTTTAATTTTTTTAACTTTGGCTTTAATTTGCTTTTTTACTTTTATACGTGTTTTGTTAGTTATTTAAATTTAAAATTTGTTTAAATTTAAATTTCATTTCTTGCAGCAATGGCGCAAAGAATTATTTAATTGAATTTGTTTTTAAATTAAATTTAATTAAATTCAATTTCTTATTAAACAATAAAATGTATATATATACATATAAATATTGCCATTTTGCACAACTTATTGGCTATTTGTATTAAATATGCACACATAAAAAATTTTTAATTAAAAATTGGTTACCATTTTAATTATCAAAATTTAAGTTATAATATTTAAAATCTAAAATTTAGTCTGAAATTTGGGTCTGTTTAAGTAAGATCAATTTCTTTATGTCTGGCCTTATTTCACTTAGCTTTAACCGTAAATGAGGATGCGCTTTTAATTTTGTTCCGTGTTTATTTTTCAAATATAACGTGGAAGAAAATCCTTCTTCACACAAATAGGTTCTGCAAAAAGTTGATAAAAATGTAATAGCTCAATTTGAAATGCCTTTAAATTCTTTTTCTCGGTTCAGCCAAAATTTAACGAGAGTGTTATTTTTGAAATCGTCCGTGCTAGTTCGATCGCTGGAAATATCTATCAATTGTTCTTTTCCTTCACAAGGTTTTTAAACTTGGTTAAAAATACTGTGTTTCTTTGCGTATACCTGGTTGAGAATTCCTGGACTAGACAACACCAATATCGCTGTAGCTGATTTTTTTTTACCGTAATAAGCTGTAATAATTAAAAATTTCATTAAGATCAGAAACATTTGGAACATAAAAACAGTTGAGTTTTATTAATGAATATATCCACGAAAATGTTTGATTTCCATATATATCCAATAACTAAAAATATAAAACCTTCTTTAATATAAATTAGTTAAAGAATTTCAGAACTGCTTATTTTCTCCATTATGAACGTAAACAAACTAATAAATTTATTAGATACGAAGATCATACATTAGTACAGTATAGGATGCCCCATCAAGACTGTACAAACCATACCATACAAGATGAATTTGTTCCATGGAAAAGAAATTGGTATTTTTTTCAGAAAAAGTCCGATTTTATGTCAAAATACCTATGTTATAATAATGCTATATATAAATCTAATATATATTCTAAGTCGCACTTTCAAGACATAAAAAATACAAATTGAATTTTGTCAATCGTACCAAGAGAACGGGAAATACAGACCTGTCCCCATTTTTTTTTTTTTTTTTTTTTTTTTCCCGGCTTTGTTTCTTCAGTGCACCTACAGCCATTAAAATTTGAATAACGTAATCTTCCATAGAATACGGACATGTGGAAGCCCTAATTTGAATTCGAAATTTGTTTTATTATGTATTTCATATTTTGTCAGACGTTAAAGAACTTTTTTTAACAAATTCAACGATTTCAAAGTGAGCAATAAAAACACTGTACGGGAAAAAAAAAAAAAAATCTCCAGCGCGCGAGATTCTGTATCGGAAATTCTAACGATAGGCTCATTTTAAAACTATTTTGCGATATTTCTCTTGAACTGAATTTTAAAGTTTGAGTACGTAGAACATGATACTTAATAAATAAAGGTAACACACAAAACGTTAAAAAAACGCCCCTTTACGTGCACCTCGTCTTTTGGTTGCAATCGGCTGTAGCAAAAGTATATAAATATATGTATATGTATATCCACTCTGTTACTGGGCTCAGTGATCTCAGATTCTTTATTCTTATATGTTTGTAAATTCACATTTTTTGCTTTAAAAATGATTGAATTATGTTGATCTTATCTTCCGGTTAAGGTTTGTGTGCCTTTAGTAAATCTGAATGCAATATTTGTAGAATTATCATAAATTTAAAAGTTGTTTAAATGACGCTAAGTCTAATAATTTTTGCCATGTCAGCCATTGTAGCAATTTGTAGCAATCTGGTTTTTAAGCAGCAGATGTTTTGTAGCAATCTGTTGCTTTTAAGCAACAAGAAGAAAGGAGATGAGCACTTTGACGAACGCCGTTTCCTCCAGTCCAGTGTGTCGGCCATTCCTTGTTTACATTTGAAGCAACATAATAGTAGATTTGTTGCCAATCTAGAGAAAGTAAGCTTCGCAATAACAAAGATAACGCCTTCTTTTGTTATTGCGAATTAAATCATGCTTAATCCATTTTGGAATTTATTCGAGCAAATAAGTGTTTAAGATTTACTTCATAATTTTCAATACAGACATTGTTAGTATTTATGTATTTTTGCCTTGTCGCGAAGTGAGACCTGAATTAATTGGATGAGAAATACTGAATCGTCTGTGAAAAACTGCTTTTTTTCGTTGTTGTTGTTTATTTCTTTTATACATCGTTTTAGATTTATTATAATATTTGAATAGAACATTCTTGAAATGATGTAAAATTTGTGCCTTCTGAGTTAAAATATGATTGCAATGTAGCGCTGTTAAGTGAACCTAGCGTTAGAGTGTCGGTATGGTACGGTAAACAAATGTAATGAATTTTAAAAAGTGCATTTATTCTATTGTGGTTTATGCGCTATCGGCGAAGTAAATTTAATGGTAAACATATAGTGAATTGTAAAGAGTGCATATTTTTCTATTGTTTATGCGCTACCAACAAAGTAGATTTAATTCAATCTAATAAGTTTAAATGAAATGCAAGAAAAAATGCGTATAGTTTAATATTCCGTACAAGGAAGTCATGTGGTGCACACATCAGATTTTTTCGTACTGTGTTGCCATTGCTCCCTTTGAAATCGTTGAGTTTGTTAATCAAAAATTCGTTCAAGTTTTACAGATTATGAAATAGATAACAAAACAAATTCCAAATTTGGGCTTCCAGATCCCCATATTCGAATAGAGGACTGCGTCATTCAAAGTTGGATGGCTCTAGGCACCGTTGTTTCCTCCCAGTGCTAGAAACATTCACGCAGCTTCTTCAGTATTTAATTTCTTTAAATGTAATACATGGCTATAATATTTGGTGGCAACAGTTTGAAAAGTGAATTGACGCAAAATGTCTTATTGAAAATAATAGCCCTTCTGGGCTAAAAATTACTTTAGATTGCAGGTTCATTTACTTTAGATTGCAAAAAGTTCATTTACTTTAGATTCAATTACTTTAGATTGCAAAATATGTGTTTGCCTAAAATGAAGGATACAATTAAAATTATTTTAAAAAAATTCAAGAAAATTGTTCAATGTTACTTTTATTCGCTGCTTCATTCAGCGGCATTTCTTCGTAGCAATAATTTTTAATGTTTTGATCTCTAAAAGTATGATTTTCTCCCTTATTTACGAGAAGAATTGTCTCCTCTTTCCTTAGGTGTCTTTTGGGCAAATCTTTTGATGTTGTCAAAGAAGTGGATGTTTTGGACAGCAAAGATGAAGCCAATTTAGCCATATTAACCAGACCAGATTTGGGCGTCACATTCACAAAATTCCATTGTTGGCGACTGACCCAATTCGAAAAATGTGTTTTCTTTGACGCAGACATAATGGTAAGTACGCTTTCTTTTGAAAATTAAAAATTATCGAACTTTAGAACTGTTTTTGAATTCTAAGATTTAAGCATTAATATTGCTGCGTTCTACGGATTCGTGGATTTGGAGAGATTGACGATAACACTTGATAAAGCATCGAAGCACAATTTATTCGCCAGTATTACATGGAAGCGTTGCAAAGACACGTTTACACGTGTTAAAAACCTATTACAAACACGCCGAAACAATCAGCAACACAGCATTCAGGCTACCAGCCTGTAACGGTGAACACAGCTTCACGGCAAAACACTAAAGTACAGCTCCCAACACGGTTGATGTTTCTCGGAGCTCAAGACACTACTACTGAACTGTGCATATTGCAAGATACTCGCACGATACCCTCCTGATACACAGCTTCCCCGCGTACAGTCAGGATTTATATAGCTTTTGACCTGCCTTTGAGAACATTCTGGTGCACACCGGTAAGAATTCGTTCTAGAATGTTCTAGTTCCATCTATGGCATATCGCCGATTTTGTCGCCAAATGGGCGATTTCTGGGATTCCAGATATGGGGACCCTGTCTTTTCTTGCCATTCTTGGCGCTTTTTACAAGAGTAAGAAGAATTGGATTTTTGTCAATTTTCTTTGACTTTTTAAGTGAAAATAGGTCGATGTGTACATGGATAAAGTCAAGCGTGTGCGCAATGCCATTTTTGTGCAGTTCTGGGATGTTTTTTTAAGTGAAAATAGGTCGACGTGTGCATGGATACCGCGTATGCGCAATTCTTAAAAACGCGCGAAGCAGTGGGCGATTCTGCACTTTCTCCCAATTTCGCAGCTAATCTTCGTCATGATTAAGCACTTTTGTTCCATAAAAAATCTAGCATAAGCGTAATTTGGCTAGCAGATTGTTGGAAAAATGTTGAGTAAAAAAAAAATGCCTTTACTTCGTGAAAACAAAATGGCGTCCCCCCCCCCCCAAAAAAAAACTAGAAGGTTGCTGTAGCAGGGTTGGTCGCCAAATTTTCGCCAAAAAATCGCCAATTTACCATAATGCGAAGAGTCAGCAAAAAATTAAACCTGTAAGGTATTTCTCCCGCTTTCTTAACGAGCCTTCGTGGTGTGGTGGTCTGCATGCTCAGCGCGTAATTGAGAGGTCCGCGTTTCGATTCCCGGCGAAGACGTTGCTAATTTTTCATCTTGCCTGCTTCCCAAAAAAAAATACCTAATGTCTCTACAAACTATGCGTTTAGAGATAGATGACAATTATCAATAAGCGAACTCCCCCAGTGGCTGAATGGTTAAAAGACCGCTGCATACTGGTAGTTCGACGTGGTTTTGGTTCGAATCCCGGTGAACAGGCTGGCTACGTGACTGACTGTCATGGATTTGCCCATTTGTAACGTGAATAAGAGCCAGTTTCCTTCAGAAAGTTCTCTCTTCCGTCTTCTTGGACTTCAGAAAGTTCACTTCTCTGAAGCAGATAGCCGTTCACCAAGTGAAGCAAGATTCTTGCTTCACATATTAGAAAATAGAATCGTGTTGTTTTTAATTTCAAGAACAATTAATGTTTAACATGTATTTAAACTGCTGTTTAAAATCACTAAATATTATAATCCCTAATTTTTATTTTAAATGACATACCTAAATCTGATCTGTTTGTAGCCAAATTAATTTTTCTGCAACTTCAGAACTTGAAAATCATTATAAAGACAATGTGGCGATATTACGTATTTTTGCAAACAACTGTGTAAATAATATGAATTTTTCAGAGCCTGGTCGAATTCGTTCAAAAACCTCTGCAGAGCATTTCTAATTTTAACGCTATCTACAAAAGACAATATTATTCGATTTCTATTACACGTTATCAAATGTCTAAAATTTTATTCCGAAGCTGTTAACAATAGATTTTAAGAACAAAAGCATTAAAATTACTGCATATCAATTTAATTAGGTTTGTGTAAAATTTGTAAAACCAGTTGTCCAATTTATGTGAGAGATGCTTTCTGCTTTATTTCACGCGAGTACGGAAATCGAAACTTCTTGTGTTTATTTTACATTTTTATCTTTGTTTAAGTGTCTGAGCGGTAAAGCCGCTGAATACAGGTAATTCGATCCGAGGTTCGAATCCCGCGAACGGGCTGGCTGCATGGGATTTTCGCATTTTTCCCCATGTGTAAAGTGTTAATACGAGCCAGTTTCCCTTATACAGTCCTTCACGAAGGCATCCCTCCCTTCCGTGTAGTGCCATAGGGCGGAATGCGTAATAATAATACCTTTGTTTAACCCGCCAGTGTTCTAATCAATAAGATTGTTTAATACAGGCCACCAAGGTTATTATACTGCAAGGTTTCATTTTCTGTGACGTCACTGACTCATAGTCTGCCCAGAAGCAACTATTGCCTGCTTTCTTTATGTCGTTTCTCCTGCTTTATACCCCAAATGAGTCACTGAACTCGAGCGTTGGAAAGCGCTTAGTCTGGATTTATTCTTGTAAAAGCAACAAAAATCAACTCTAAACTGCCCAGAACAGTGTACTTACTGAAGCAAAGTTACAGATTGCGGCCTTGTATACTCGTAACAGTAAGATACATAAAGAACTAAAAATTATTTAGATAAAGATTTATAATCGTCATATAGCTAAATGTTTTCACGAAAGCCAAGAGTGAACCAACAGTTCTAAAATAGAAATATGTAACTATTAATATAATGTTAATACTATCGAAAGGCCAATGCCTGTATTAAATACAAATATAATTGCATAATATATATATATATATCGTAATGGGGTTAGCTTGATTCGATGTTCAAATAAATGAAATTTCCCTTGAAAAGCCAGTTTGGAAGTCGAATTGGGCTAATTTACCATTTTCCGCTTACTTTTTATCTGTTTCTGTATTTTAATGTTTTACATGTCTAATGGTTTGATTTTCATATGTATTAATTTTTTTAAAACGTGTTGAACCTTTTGGAGCAGCAGCTCTTGGTAACTTTTAGGCGAGCTTGCTACAATTATTATATATATATATATATATATATATATATATATATATATAGCAGAAAACACAAAAAAGTTTTATAAAGAAAAATACATAATCATTCCAAGAATTTTCGCGCATTATGATCAGTAAATACACAATGAAAGAAATTTAGAATCAATTTATAATGGAGACCAAAAATTTAAATTCAAATAAATAAATTAATTAAAAAATCCTATATATGTAGAATTATAGTTCTTTAAATATTAAAAGAAAAAATAAAATAAACCATATCAAGGGGGGGGGGAGAACATGAAGGAAGAAGAATCTAATTAATTTCGATGTAACGTCGTCAGAAGGAGGATACATCGAAATGAATTACAATTCCTTTTCTATAACTGGATTACGGGAAGTGCCTTTAGGGCAACATTTTTATTGAGCCGAACACTTTGAGAAATTCACATTATCCCGGAATAACGATACCAATATCGATACGCATTACTTTTTCTCGCCTGCTGCTGCTTTAGTAAACCATGTCTCTCACTTCGGCTTCCTTCGCAGTCGTTTAGAATGTGAATTGTATATACAGAAATTGTGGCGCTCATTTAACATCCTAAGTATTGTACCAGTTTTAAGCAAAAATGTGTTTCTGAATAATTGCTCCTGTGGAAAATAAAAAATCTGATGTGTACCCCACATGACTTCCTTGTACGGAATATTAAATTATACGCATTTTTTTCTTGAATTTCATTTAAATTCATTGGATTGAATTAAATCTACTTCGTCGACAGCGCATAAACCACAATAGAATAAATGCACTCTTTAAAATTCACTATATTTTGTTTACTATAACAACACTCTGAATGCACAAAATTTATATCATTTGAAGAATTATCGTTGCCACATGTTCTATTCAAATACTATAATAAAGCTAAAACGATGTGTGAAAGAAATTAAGCAAACAAAACAGAAAAGAAACAGTTTTTCACAGACGATTAAGTATTTCTCATTCAATTAATTCAGTTCTCACTTCGCGACAAGGCAAAAATACACCAAAACTCAAAATATCTGCATTAAAAATTACGAAGTAAATCTTAAACACTTATTTCCTCGAAAAAATTCCAGAAAGGATTAAGCATGATTTAATTCGCAATAATAAATGAAGGCGTTATTTTAGAGTTGCGAAGCTTAGTCTCTCTAGATTGGCAACAAATCTACAATTCTGCTGTTTGAAATGGAAACAAATATGTCCGCCATGTTATTTAAAACTTAACCGCTCTTAAACAGCTTTTAAATTGTTGATAATTGTACAAATATTGCTTCCAGAATTACGAAAGGCACAAAAACCTTAACCGGAAGATAAAAACAACATAATTCAATCATTTTTAAAGCAAAAAATGTACAATTTACAAACATATAAGAGTAAAGAAACTGAGATCACTTGAGCCGGGTAACAGAGTGGATATATACATAAATATATTTATATACGTTTGGCGCAGCCGATTGCAATCCAAATACGAGGTGCACATCTACATGTTATAGCAGTCCTATATACAAAATTTCAACGTTCTGAGGCTACTCCTTTTTGAGTTATGCGAGATACGTACGTACATACGTTCGTACAGACGCCACGAAAAATTCTCTTCAGAATTAATTTTAAAGCAGTTTTATAATTTTTTTGGAGAAAAAGAGTCTTTTATTCTGTCCTTACGTACAGATAGCATGCAAAAACTTCGTTCAATTGCATTCGATAGCGGTCAAAATGGATATTTTCGTTGAAATATGCTGCCTGAAACTTTTCACGATTACAATCCTTCCTTTTTACTTCGTACAATTAAGTAAAAAAGATGTTTTAACCATCAAGCTAATTGTGATTTTCCCACCTGTCTAAGCAACAGCCATCGACCATGACTAACGAGTGAACTGGTTTTCATTTTCCGCAAAAAATACTATAAGGCAATTCTGCCACCTTCTTGGCATGCCTTCGCGGTGTAATGGCCACCACACTCGGCGCGTGTCCGTGGTTCGAGTCCCGGCGA